ATTTTTGGTGTGTTGTGCGGGGCCATGGCGTCAGTGAAGGTTGACAAAATATTGGAGCCTTGCACGAACCCGTAGGCGCTCTTCGGAGAGAATGAAGCTCCTCCGAGGTATAGCGCCAGGGACCAACCTCAGGATGGGCCAGTCCTTCATTCTGGAGTCTCTCACTGCCTTCTCCATGCCCCAGCCTATTGGGTTCCTAATATGTAGTAGGTGTTCGGTGCTCAAGGATTGTCAGGACACCGCAAGGGTCTGTTGAGTCTGTTGAGTCTGTTGAAGAGGGGGAGGAGGAGGAAGAGGAGAAGGAAGAGGAGGAGGAGGAGGAGGAGGAGGAGGAGGAGGGGGGGGAGGATGAGGAGTAGGAGGAGGACAAACCTCCCCACGGCACCCGCCGCAGACCTCCTGGCCACCCACCCTGCATGGCGGCCGCGGCCCCTCGCGGCCCACATCCACAGAATGGGTGGGCGATGTCTGCTCTTCGGTCAGCGCGCCGACCTGGAAGCCCGCGCGCCGCGGGCCACCTTCCGACGATTCCAGGCTCCCCAGCAGGCCCCAAGGTTTCATAAGGGGCTCCGCAAGGACGAGATCTGAACGCCCCCACGTCTGCTCGTAGGTCATGCGGATTCGATGGCAGCGGCCGCTTCGGCCTTTAGACTCGGGCTCTGGAGCGTTTTTCTCTTGGACAGGCGACTGTGGATTTCGCGGGATGATCCGCAATAGGCGTTGCTGCATATACCCGCTGTGTCGTGAAGTTGATTGTCGTGTGTTTCAGATCCCTCCTCGAGGGAGGAGGCGCGATAGACTAGTGCAGTGTCTGTACCGCTGCCAATTCTGTGGCCGCGCCCATGCCGAAACCGCCATCTCAATCCGTGCCCAGTCACTTCCGTGACAAGAGTGGAATCATCTTTCTCTGATCGATGGACTTCCCATCCCTCGTGATACTCCTAGCGTACATGCGGCTGGCTGAATTCGGCGGATTAGTTTCCGCCCCCTGACGATATTTTGGCGCATTGCCAAACGCGCGTTCGTGACAATGCTGCCGCTATCAACGACGCGCTAGAAGTAGCCTGCGCGCCCAACTGGGACAAGTATGAATAATCGTTATGTGAGTGAGTTTTTAATTCATGCGATGGGAGCCGCGCGAAGTTATTGCATCCTCTGAGACCTGTACTTGTCTGCTCACGAGCACGAGGGCGGCGCGGGGCGAAGATGCGCCATGCGAAATCCTGTATCCATGCGTTGGCTTGCTGACAGTACTTCGCTCTGTGAGTGAAGGCCCCCTTGCAACACTTCGGTTTCCACCAGCCTTGCTAACGGCCGTGCTGGCCGACGCCACTGCGCAGCTGGGCGTCGCTGGTTCGTATTTTCCGTGCTTCACATGCAGCTGGCGCTCCGGTGCCAACTTGCTGGACCCTCGCGGGCCCCATCGGCAAGGTCGATTCCGATTCCGATAGAGGTTTTTTAGTTCAAAAGGGGACCAGAAATTATGCCGCACGGATTGTACTCACGCGGAGTAGAGACTGCATGTTCAGGCCTACGCCCATGATAATGTCCATAGCTGGCTCCATGCAGCATTGACCCAGCAGCGCGCATAGCAAGACGCATGAGTGCCCATGGCCGTGCCCATCATTACGCCTGCTAAGGCGGGCCGCCTTGCTCAATCATCTGTGTGCCAATGGCCATGCCCCGACGCGAACGAATGCGCATGTCAACGCCAATGCACGTATGGCCGACGCGTTCTGTTGCATTCATGCCGCTATCTTCGCAGACTGCCGACGACCCATCGCGCGCGTTCATATCCATTTTCGGCCCCGTACTTGTTTCCGAAGTATTCCGAATTCCACGATAAAAAAGGGGGTTGTCTTATTTGGGGGGGGCCTGATTGGAGCTGTCTTGGAGGGTTTCAGGGGGGTCTGGGCAAAAGGCAGCCCTTTCATTGCTAGTCTGGGGGGTCTGGAATGGCTCGTCTGGGAGGATTATGGCCTCCTGCCTTTTATTGCGAAATCTGGGGTAGACTTCGCCTAACGGGTTATTCATTGTTTATGAAAGACCCAGTGGGTGCGGGGCCTTTCCCGGCTGGCGATGCCTGGGGTTCGCGGAGTTGCCCGGGGCTGCGCGGCGTTGCCCAAGGTGAAGCAACGCCAAGCAATACAAAGCAATGTGAGGCAATGCCAAAAAACGCCAAGCAGCGCTGAGCACCACCAAGCAGTGCCAAGCCACCGCCAAGCACCGCCAAGGAATGCCAAGCAATGCCAAATAGTGATTCTCAGAAAACCCAAGCAACGCCAAGCGGTACCAAGCAATGCCAAGCCAACGCCAAGCAATGCCAACAATGCCAAGCACTTGAGCAATGCTAAGCAATGTGAAGCAATGCTTTGAAGTATTGGTTAGCGTGCACCCCCAACAGCGCGTTTCTGGCAGTATATGTAGTACTCTCTACCCCATGAGTGGGACGCGACGTAGGTCACACAACTTTATATAATGTACGGCGTATACCATGCCATTAAGCATCGGCACGGCGTTTGTTGGGCTTCGAAGCGTGCCTGCGCCAAAGTGGCTGCCTACGCTGCAGCGCCCTTGGCTGCCAAGTGACACTGGAGGATTTTCTTTACTCGGCGCAGTATCTATGGTGCAGTATATGTTGTGCACTATTTGTTGTGTAATATATGGGGTCCAATAGATGTTGTGCAAGCTATGCTGAGCAATTTATGTTTTCAATATATGTGGTGCAAGATGTGTGGAGCATTCTCTGTTGTGCAATATGTGTGGAGCAATGCATGTGGTGCAGGCTGCGTTGTGCAGTTTACGTTGCGCAAACTTTGTTGTCTCATGGGTTTGCCTCCCATCATGTGCAGTGATGAGTGAGAGAGATGTTTTATGTGTTAGATGATTCTTGGACTGTTTGTGTGTGTTGCCCACCACCCCCTCCAGCATCCGTGGTGTAAGGCCGTGATTTGTCACGCCGTGGGGGGGGGGGTGGGGCGCGGGGTTTTGGGGTGTTCTTTTGCTTTTTTTTTATTTTTTTTGGTTTTTTTTTTTTTTTTTTCCTTTTTTTCTTTTTTTTTTTTTTTTTATTTTTTTTTTTCCCCCCCCCCCCCCCCCCCCCCCCCCCCCCCCCCCTTTCTATCCTTCTCTTCTATTATTTTTTTTGTTTTTTTTTTTGTTTCTCCCTTTCTATTTTTTTTTTTTTTTTTTTTGTTTTAATTTTCTTTCCTTACTCTCGCATTGAACATCCTCCCTCATCACGCTCATCCTTTCCAGGCTTATCCTCCTACTCCTCCTCCTAAGCTACCCCCTCTCAATAATCTATGATGAGTGTAATAATGAGTACGATTACGAGTACGAGTACGATTATGATAATGATGATGACGACGATGATGATGATGCTGCTGCTGATGATGATGATACCGATGATGATCATGGTAGTGATCACGGTGATGATGGTGATGACGGTGATGACGGTGATGATGATGATGATGATGATAATAATAATGATTATGATGATTATGATGATGATGGTGACGGTGATTGTGATGATGATGATGATGATGATGATGATGATGATAATGGTGATGATGATGATGACCACGACGATGACGACGACGACGACGACGACGGTGACGACGACGACGACGACGATGACGACGACGACGACGACGACGACTCCCTCCTCGCTCTTCCTCCTCCCCCTCTCCAGTGTTACTTTTCTCCGCATCCTTCCATCGTATGCAATATCAAATGATTATGCATATGTTTCCTTCCCCCATTCTCCCCCTATCGTTCTCTTTCTCATTGATGCTTAGCCTCTTCTTTCTCCCATCCGCTCCGAACGTGGAGCGAGGAGGAAGGGAACAACGAGAAGGGCGAACGGAAAATATAAAGGATGAGGACATGAGAAAGGATGAGAGATGTGTAGGAGGAGGAATAGTGTTGCGCATCCGTACTTGAAGGACGGATGACCAGAGGAAAAAAGGCAATGAAAGGAACGATGAAGGAGGGAAGCAAGAGAAGGAGGTGGAGGACGAGCTTTATGCTCTTCGCGTCCTTCGTCATCGCATACGTCACAGTGCTTTTCGGCGTTCTTATTCTTATTGCTCTTATGCATCTTTCGTTCCGCTTTTCCCATAGCCATTTTTGACTTCAAGCTCCACTCAACGACAGCAAACGCTTGCCAGGACTCACGCCACCAGCGCCGAGCAGCGATGCCCGTGTGCGATAACAAGGGTTGCAAGTGGGGACCGGCCGGCAAGGGCTCCTCGATGTCCTCGCCTGGCATATGCGTCCTGTGCCAAGACGCGGGTGCGACGGCAGCGTCCACTGGCCACCGTCGTGGAGCGGTGCTTCGCAGGCTGCTCGCGCAGCCGAGCTCGAAGCAGGACTCTGAGTTTGCACACCGCGGCCATAAACAAAACCAGAACCAGAACCTTAACGAGGGAACAATAAGCGTTTACCTTAACAAGAAAACTAAACTCATGTCATAACCACATCTCACAACCCAAGCCACAACCATAAACATAACAATGACCAGCCAACACCAGCGCCATATCCGCAACAATCAACAATAACAATACCAGACCTAGTGATCACCCCAAGACAAAATTCAATTGACAATTTACCACCATGACGACGACCGTAAGTTTAACCGTGCCCGCAACGACGGCCAACGTAACAGACAAAGCAACAACACATTTAATCTGAATAATCAAACTACGAGTGCGCAGCCCTGAGTGCACTACCCAGTTTCGCAACCGAAGCCGCAACGAAAAGCGTTGCGAGTCTATGCTGCGAAATAGTAATTGCAATGCATATGACTGCAGCCACCGCTATGTTCATTCACGCAACTGTTCGCAATCCCTCAGATCCGAATTATCTACCGCAGATACCGCCGCTTTACTTACAATGCAAATCCCAAATATAATATTGATTTCGAAACGTGACATGAACACAACGGTTTCGAACAACAGAAAGCAAGCGAAATTATGGTCGCGGGGTCAACCTCGCAGGACGAGTGGCTGGCGCGGGTGCGCCCCGACCTCGCTGCCCCCTGGCGCGCGGACCTGGCGAAGAGGGTGGCGCGCCCGCAGGGGCGCTCGCGCCCTGGCCAGCGCGAGGCAGCCGAGGGCGAGAGCGCGCAGCACTGCGACCAGGCGCCGCGGCCGCGCGAGGCGGCCGCGACGAGGCCTGCCGAGGGCGGCGGCGCTCCGACTGACAGCCGGGCGCAGCGCGCAGCCGTCGAGCCCAAGGCCGGCGACGATAACGCCTCGCGCGAGCTTGCCAGCCGGGCGCCGCCGCAGCTCCACAGGTTCGGACGCAGAAATACATACTTATATTTTAAGACCCCAATGAAAACAAACTGTTTTTGCATCCCAAACCAATTTTCCATGTGAAAACACAATGTTTTTTAATCCAAAACCGATTTTCTTATGTGCAAACACAATGTTTTTGCATCCACAAACAATTTTACTTTTGAAAACAAAATGTTTTTGCATCCAGAATCAATTTTCTTTTTAATAAATACAATGTTTTTGCAGTCAAAACCAGTTTTCCCTTTGACAACACAGTGTTTTTTATATCAAAAATCAATTGTGCATGTGAAAACACAATGTTTTTGAGCTCGGATATCACGAAACCTTGGCAGGAAAAAGAATGTTTGTTTTTTGTGTGTGTGTGTGTGTGTGTGTGTGTGTGTGTGTGGTATTTTTTGGTTAATGATGTCACGAAGCCTTGGCAGGTTTTTTTTTTTGGGGGGGGGGCCAGACGGAATTTGGCCAGTCAGACTGAGCTGACGGCGGCCCCGAATTTTCGTGGGGCCCAAAAAAGACAAGCAAGACAACAAAGACAAAACCTGCCAGGGTTTCGTGACATCATAAACAAAAAAAGACAGAAAAACAAAACCTGCCAAGGTTTCGCGATATCCGAGCTCACAAACATTGTGTTTTTTCACAGGCAAAGTTGGTTTTGGATGCAAAAACATTTTGCTTGCGCAGGGAAAAAGTGGTTTCGAATGCAAAAACATGGTGTTTTTTACAATGAAAATTGATACCGGATTCCAGAACATTGTGCTTTCACATGTAAAATTGGTTTTGAATACCAGAACATTGTGTTTTCACATGGAAAATTGGTTTTGGATGCAAAAACTTTGTGTGTTCACGTGGAAAATTGGTTTTTGATGCAAAAACATTGTGTTTTCATAAAGGGAAAGTTGCACTCTTGACCTCCTGAACCAAATTGGAATCCATTGGATTTGGGAACTGGTCAATCTCCTTGAAATTCTTATTTGAAGCAAATCCAATTGAAACCCACTGGATCTGGAGTCTGCTGCAGTCCGATTGAATTCTTGTTTGGTTCCTATTCGATTCCAATCGAAGTCTTTTGGACCTGGGATCCGCTTCAGTCCGATTGAATCCTTATTCGATTTTTGTTGAAATTCAATTGAAATCCATTGTAACTCGGGCCTGGGCCATTTCTGTTTGAAACTCCTATTTGGAATCTAATTGAATACGATTGACATCCTCTTGATCTGGAGCCTGCTCCAGTCCGATTGATTTTTTTGTTTGGTTCCTATTCAATTCTAATCAAAATCCTTTGGAACTGGGATCTGCTCCAGTCCGATTGAATCCTTACTTGATTCTTATTGCAACCCAATTGGAATCTATCGGAACTGGGGTCTGGGCAATTTCTTTGCACTTCCTATTTGAAATCTAATCGAATCCAATTGGAACCCTCTGGATCTGGAGTCTGCTCCAGTCCGATTCTTTGAAAGTCCTATTTGGAATCTAATCGAATCCAATTGAAATCTTCAGGATCTGGAGTCTGCTCCAGTCCGATTGAATTCTTGTTTGGTTCATATTCAATTCAAATCAAACTCCTCTGGATCTGCTCCAGTCCGCTTGAATCTTCATTTGATTCTCATTCAAATATAATTGAAATCTCCTGGTTCTGGAAACTGCTCTGTACAATTGAATTCGTGCAAGATTCAAATTGTAATTCTTGGATACAGACATACAGGGAGCTATATGTACGAAGAATACCAGAAAAACTATGAGGACGGAGTGCTGGGGGGGGGGGGGGGGGGGGGGGGGGGAGGGGGGGGGGGGGGGCGTTCTCCATATATACTCACACGTGTATAACTAGCTATAGCTCGTATATGAATTTTTATATGTTTAATGGGTGTGCGTATGTATATATATATTTATATACATGAGAGAGGAGAGTAGAGAGAGGAGAGAGAGAGAGAGAGAGTGAGATGAGAGAGAGAGAGGAGAGAGAGGAGAGATGAGAGAGAGAGTGGAGAGAGAGAGAATGAGTGAGATGAGAGAGAGAGGAGAGAGAGAGAGTGAGAGAGAGTGGAGAAAGATTGAGGAGAGAGAGAAGATGAGAGACCCTGATGCAGATGAGAGGAGAGGGAGAGAGAGAGAGGAGAGAGAGAAGTGATGAAGAGTGAGGGAAGTGAGTGAGAGAGAGAGAGAGAGCGAGAGAGAGAGAGAGAGAGAGAGAGAGAGAGAGAGAGAGAGAGAGAGAGAGAGAGAGAGCGGACAAGTAGGCGGACCAGGGTCCGTCCGCGAGGCGCACTTCGGTGCGACAACTCGCAAAACACTATTTGCGGCGGTGCAGCCTTTAGATACGAGGGCGGGCAACAAAAACCCCCTCCCCCGGCGCAGTGCGACAGACGCTACAGACGGCGGACAGACGGTGAAGATCTCACCTGTCAGACCGCGTGTAGAAAGAGGCCCCAACAAGGAAGGCGACGTGCTGACACGTGGCTAGGCGGCTTGGCAGACCGCCAGTTGGGCGCTTGGCCGCAAAGCGGCGCGCAGTGACGGGGCACCCCCCGCCCCCGCGCCCTGACACCGTGGACGCGGAGCCACGCGTACTCACGGGCAGGCAGAAAGGAGGAGATTAGCGCGGGGCACCAGGTGGAGCGCCGCGGAACGATGACAGCATAGCTTGGATGGTGTGTGACGGCACGGCACCATCGGGCGAGGGCGTAAGCAGCTCGGCGAAGGCTCGCCCGGCGCTGTGGAGGCGCTGGAGTAGAGGGCCTTGACGGGCTTGAGCGGCGGCGAGGTCCGCGGCGAGAGCAGCGCACCTCTGCTGGAGAGCGGCCATAGCCTGGGACAGCTCGGTTTCGCGGTCGGCGAGGGGTGGTTGCTCAGTGCCAGCGGCCGCGGGCCTCGTGACAGGGGTGAGGTCCTCGGTGCGCCTGGCCAGGTGGTGGACTAGCGTAGTACGGCACCCCGTATGCTGACGTCCGTCACCCTTGAAAGGTGACTGGAGGGGAGCACGCGGCCCCAGGGCTGGAGCCGCTAGGGTCACGCCCCAAGAGGTCGGAAGAGCCTCATCCTCTCGCTCAGCAACGATGGAAGCCTGGGCGGGGTGCGAGGGCCTGCCTGGTTCAGTGCCTTGCGGGGGGGCTGAAGCCGCCCCCGCGGGTTGCCGCTGGTGGGGGGGCAGAATGGTTTGCGCGGTGGGGCCAATCCTGATGCCGTACGAGGGCTCTGAGGTCAGCCGCGTAGTAGGGTGGCCCCTCGATAGGGCGGCATGGTCGGCAGTGTGGGGTGTCGGCGATGCGTCGTCAATGCCACTTAGTCCGCGGGGGTCACCCAGGTCGTCGTCGGCGTCTTGGCGGTGACCGAAATCGACATATGGGAGCGATGTCGCTCTCGGAGACGGAGTCGCGGTAGGCGTCGAGAGGTTGCCCGACGGGGCAGGGTTGTCGCTGGCTGGGCCGTCGTCCAAGACGTCCAATCCCCCACCGAAGCTGAACGGGTCGTCCTCCTGTTCGTCAGCGTCTTGGAGGTGAGCGGCGTCGTCATGTGGGTGCGGTGCCGCACTCGGTGGCGGAGTCGAGGGCGTCGTGCGGATGCCCGACGGGGCGAGGTTGGCGCTGGCTGGCCCGTCGCCTAGGAAGTCAAGTCCCCCGCCGAAGCCGAACGGGTCGTCCTCCTGTTCTAGAAATATCGCCCGTTGGGCCTCGGCCCAGAGCTCGTCCGGGTTCTGTGGGATGTCTGGTCCAGCCGCGGGTGGTGCCTGGTCCGACAGCAGGGGGTTTGGTTCCATGTTGTTGAGTTCCGCAGCTGTAAACCCAGCCCTGCGGTGTGGGAGCGGGAGTGTGCGGTGTCTGCGCTCGTAGATGGCGACAGCGACCCCATGAAGCACGGTCGCTTGGCGATGTCGTGTTTTGGCAGCTTCGACAATGTCGTCTGGAAGGTTGTGAGTGCGTGCCGCCGTTGTGGCGTGGGCGTCAGCCTGACGATTGAACTCCTCCGCAATGGGCCCGATGAGCCCGAGGTCGATGCCCATGTCTCCCAGGTGGCTGGCGATTTTCTCGACGCGGAACATGTTTGGCTTGGCCATAACACATCGGTGGATCTTTTCCCAGAGGTCTACATGCGTGCCCTGCGGCGCTGGGTGTCCGTCGATGATGCTTTGGAACCCATCGACCACTGCCTGGTTGTCGACGAAAACGTGCACGGGCCTACCGGCACATGCCGTAAGGTGGACGAAGGCGAGGGTCTCCGCAACCTGGGCGTTCTGCGTTAGGCCGTGGACGCGTGCACTGTAGTTCATGCGATGGTCGATGCCGTAGTAGACGCCGTAACCCGCTCGTGCTAGCAAAGGGATGGCTTGGTTGGTACATGCACCGTCTGTGGCAGCGTAAACCCATGTCCATCCAGTGTCGTGGTCGAGGTAGGTGGTGTAGGTGTCCTGGGCTGAAGCCGCAGGATCTCCCTCAGGGGGGGGCCGCGGCATGGGCTGTGGCAGCGGGTCCCTCGCGAGGTCGGCCTGCAGGTCAAGGAGGGCTGGGTCTTCATCGAAGAGCCCGCAGTGTCTCGTGTGCGGCGGGAGACGGGCCCACTGGTCGTCACTGATGAGGGTGGTGAGGGGGGGCCTTTCTCGGGCCCAGCACTTGCAGTCGCGGACAGTGTGCTCCTGAGTTTCCTCTTCCTCGTCGCAGTATCGGCAGATGGGGCTGGGGTCGGCTGACGTGTTTGATCGGGATCGTCGCTGTTGGGTGTGGTCTCCGCCCGACAGGTAGTTCAGGGGGAGCGCCGGCTGCCGGGCCGTGCATTTGGCTGTTCCTTTGGTTCGGGCGAGCCACGTGCTGGCGAAGAGGTCGAGGCCCTGTTTGACAGAGGCAAGGTATCCAAGGTCGTGTCGCCGTGGCTTGATCCTCCGCAGGAAGGCTCTGCGTTGTGAGGCCCGCAGCATGTGAAGGAAAGCGTTTTGGGGTAAATTCAGCCAGCTGATCTGGCAGCCCAGTCGTCGTACATGATGCCAAATGTGGGCCAGGTCCATCGG